AAATCTGTAATAGAATGACCAGGGAGATTGAAGTGTTCACTTACTGGCTTATGTATGTTACCATTCCTGATGTCCGATTTGTGTCCATTTATTCTTTTGCGGAGGGACTGTCCGGTTTGGCCAATGTACATGGCAGAGGGGCATTGCTGGCACGTGATGGCATATATAACACTAGTGCCAGCAACTGGGAGTGGCTGGCTCATTACAGAAGCAGCTTTTCCTCTCCTGGAATTGATACCTCCTCATCTATTATTGGGAGTGGACTACCTCCACCCTGATTGAATTGGCCCTGTCAACACTGGTTCTCCACTTGTGAAGTAACTCCCTGCTCTCCATGTTTCAGTATATAATGCCTGCATCTGTAACTTTCACTCTATGCAGCTGAAGAAGTGAGGTTTTTACCCACGAAAGCTTATGCCCAAATAAATCTGTTAGTCTTTAAGGTGCCACCAGACTCCTTGTTGTTCTAATATATTCATAAATGATCTGGAAAAGTGGGTGAACAGCATGGTGGAAAAATTTGCAGATATTAAATTATTCAATATAGTTAGGGCCAAAGCTGACTGTAAAGAATTACAAAGGGATCTCACAACTGGGTAACTGGGCAACAAAAAGGCAGGTGAATTCAGTGTTAAGTGCACAGTAATGCGTGTTGCAAAAAAATAATCCCAACTATACATCCAAAATGATGGGGTCTAAATTAGCTGTAACCATGAAAAAGATCTGGGGTCATTGTAGATAGTTCTCTGAATACACCCGCTCAATGTGCAGCGGCAGTCAAAAAAGCTAACAATGTTAGGAACCATTAAGAAAGGGATAGGAAATAGGGACAGAAGCTGGGACTGGATGGTACGGGGTGGATCACTCAAAGTTGCCTTGTTCTGTTCATTCCCTCTGAAGCATCTGGCCCTGGCTACTGTCAGGGAGAGGATAATGGGCTAGATGTCCCCAGTATGGCCATTCTTGTATTCAATATGGTTTGTCCAGGATGTTTCAGGAAATTGCCGTGTCTGTCACAACTATAATTTTAGGGTTGCACCATTTAAAGCACTGGTGTGTACTGCCAAATAGAAAATGGAGATCAGCGTCTTGATTTAAAAGTTATTAGATCCTGGAGGGTAGCAGCCCATTAGTGAGATTATGTCTAGTATATTATCTATGTATTTACAAAAAAATTAATAAAGCAGAAGGTGGTTGAAGAATAATGGCTGGAAATGTACTAAAGCATCAGTAGCAATTGTTAACTTATAGAAATAACTATGACTAAAAAAGACCAAATCAGTGTATTATGCTCCTACCACAAATGTTTTAGGGCCTGAGCCAACATCCAGTAAAGTCCACTGTAGTCTTTCAATTGACTCCATTGGGCTTTGGATAAGGCCCCGATGAAATATATCATCACTGGGGTTAATACTGCTGAGAGTTTAAAATGCAAGAGGGCTTGGAGAATTCTGATAGATTTATTAAATAAAAGGGATATGGTAGAGTATTCCATTTCACTATCGGATGCTGTAGGAACTATATTACTTGCTTTGAGTAGCAGCCTGACCCCCACCCCGCCCCCATTCTGTCTACACTGCAATTGCAATAACCCAGGGCTCAGAATCAGGGTCCCAGGACCCTGCGGGGCTGGAGGATCCGAGCATGACTTAAGTTGGTGGCCAGGGTCTGAGCCCTATTGCTTTGCAGTGTAGACACAGCCTCGCTTGACTCAAGTCCTGGGAGTCAGCTGGACTTCCTTAGTCTCTCTATCCCTACAATCCGCAATCACTCTATTGTAAATGGAAGCTACCCCACCCCACCCAAAGGGCAGCAGCTCAGGTCCGCATTAAACCATTAACTTCTGATCACTGATCTGCAAGCACACTGTTGGGAGAGTCTCCTGGGTTTGCAATG